ATATATATGTATGTACATATATATATATATATATAAGAGAAACAAAAATATTTGAATCACTACTTGAACGGATGAATGGATATGATAAAGGCTAGTATATGAAAGAGCGGAAAAGTAGTTGCATATAGGAATACATCAAGTTGATGAGGATGTCTGCAAGTGATAAGTGCAAAATATGTGAAGCTCACGAGAAGAAAACAGAAAGCTGTTGTTGAAAGTTGAGGAGAATGGAATAGTTCTTGTGGAGGTGTTTGCAAAAACAACGACACAGTATGTGCAAAAAAATTGTTATCCAGCTTCAGATGTTTCCTCTAGAGAGTTTATAATATTCGAAAATGAAAAAAATTTGCATGCGCATCAACATCAAATTAACCCTCACAAAGGTTACTTTGTGTATATTTAATCTTTAAGTTGAAACTGGTATGCAAGATGCATAAATAATATGAGTCTATTCATCCATCACAATGACTGAATGGATGAATAATTTCTTATTAACTGATTGATGCGTATGGTTTTTCGAAGATTTATTCGATTCCGCCCTCACTCAAATTCAACAGCTATTGTTGTCGAAACTTAAACGATATCGTCGTCGCTCGAATGTACAAATGTAATCCATTTCATACCACAAATACATTGCTTTGTGATAGAATTAAGTCGATATATTATGTGCGGCACCTAATCACATTCATACTTTCAAACTAACAACAATAACATCCAGAAAAAAAACCAAGAGAGCCACAAAAAATGTTTTGCAATTTAAATAACTCATGTACAATCATGTAGATACTGACTACTTCATAGCATTTCGTTTAATGTTACGCTGACTTTTACTGTTATCTTATTTATCTAGTTAGTGAGAAATTATTGCAAAACATGAAAAAAAAATGGAATACGTACACAGCGGATGAATTAGAATAGTAAGATGAGGATGAAGCTGCTGCTTGAGCATCTTCAGTGATCAATTTCAAGCATCTCGCTCGCTCACGACCAATCACTCCACCTGACATATATAGGACGATATTTCGAGCGTGACGAAGATGAATGATGAGCACACGAGAATAAGCAGCAACAGATTGAATATCACTTGCAAACAACCTAGTATGCAGTCGTCACGTAACACTTGAACGTTTTTTGAGCAGTTTTTCAACGATCTTTTTTTCTACCTGCAAAATACAATGGTAACACCAAAAACGGTGATAATGACAATTTCTTTTAGAAATTAAGCATCATTTAATAGAATGATTTAAGTCAGCAAACGAACGAATGAGAAGGCGAATAATCATAATGAACATATGTATGACTATATATCACGTCATATAGTCAACGAGTTAACAATCACGATTAAATCGCCTGTAATCAATAATAAGTATTATCACTCTGGCTCTGCTGTTCTTTCAGCACTCTAAGGACCACCACATCTGTGAGTATTCAAGCAAACCGACTCGTTTCGAACAAAAAGAGCAAAAGATGTGAAAGTTTGTTCGAAGCATTCAACTAGGCCTCATTTAAAGTTTTCAACGCTTCTTTTTGAAATGTTCATTGTGAATAAGCAACAGCAGTAAGAATAACAGTAGCAATAAGCATTATTGAGCATCATTTTCGATAAGCATTTATTCATTCATTCGTTCATTCAATCATTTGTCCCACTTTGAAGGTTTACATTCGTTCAGATTTCTTCCACGACTATAAGGAATTTTTCTGACGTATATTCGAACAGAGTGAACGCTTCAATGCGCAAATCATATGATATATTATAAGTACATTTATGTGATACATACATAAGTGAATGTGTGTGAATGTGTAGTTATTTCTACAAAGTAGAACAAACTGAAAATCAGTTGAGATGAACTCGTCACTAGGCTACGTTAAGTCGGAAACACATCACTTTACAATAGTACTGGTAATAATGGTAAGAATAATTGAAGAAATAATAATGAAGTAACAGGAATAATCAGAACAGCAACAATATAAGATTTACGGGACAATTTGCTTAAGATCGTCGACTGTTTAGTGACCGTGCAGAAAGGAGCAGTGAAAAAACAAACCGGTGATGATAATGACGATCATGAAGTTGATCTGATTCAATGATCGAGAATGAAACGGAGACTCGTTATGAGTTGCTATTTTAAGTGATACATGGTGAGTGAATATATGTCTAAATGAACAAACAAACAAGTAAACAGATAAAAACAAAAGCACTATTATTACTGGAGGAGTTGAAAGGAATAAATGAATATCAATTTACTAATTGATTTGTTCATTTTGACCTTCAACAGAAAATAGATCGATTCACGTTA